TAGTCCATTGTTGGTTAGTCCAAAAACTTGATTGGTCCTAAGTGTTCATTAGTCCGCAATTCGAAAGTTCGATAGTCCGACTGGACGATTAAGTTCGATAGCCCGAATTGACAGCATCGAACTTTATTGTCAATTTGGACAAATGAACCTGGTGTGCTTTCGGATTAATGAACCTTCGGACTAATTAACTTATCCTTTTGACTTTCGAACCTTCTGACTTTATCATCAAAATTAAATGCTTGAATTAACTAACCTTATTTCATTTTCTTACTATAATGAACCCCGGTACGGGAATTTTTCGGACTTTTTAACATTCAGACTATCGAGTGCCGGTGTAGCGTGAATATCCGACTCCATGAAATGTGGACTCATTGGTAATACTGCGCACGCTTGAATACGATACTACGCTATTTTTAGGATCGTTTCGGGAGAGTGACCTGTCACGTGCGAGGGATCAACCAATAATAGGGAAACAGGGGTCCGATTATCATAGGAGTCGGATTTTCATGTGACACCGGTACCACGAGGGTACACCGCGTACTGAAGCACTCATTATTTCAAGTGCGGGAATTCAGGCGCTGGGCCATCGTGGCCTAAGTATTCTGCTCAGTTTTGAATTTAGCTACAATATGTTAAAAAGAACCATTGTATGTGTTAATGTACATGTACATGCCCTCCTATTTGGTGTTGATTATTTTACGAAGTGTTAATTGTGTCCGTGTCCTTTAATATGTTCCTGCGCAGGCTACAAAGAACTAGTAAGGATTACTCATGTTTAACCCAATACAAGAACTGTGGAATCCCTCGCCCCGCCCCCCTGCTCCCAATATTTGTGCCTTTCAAAATGTCGTCCACAGCGTAAATGAAACTAAATATTATGCCGATGTGATATGCAACAAGGGGAAACTTTATTTTACAAAATTCGGACCTATAGTTATTGCGAAATATCAATTGCAAACGCAGGGTATCGTAAAAGTTTTTCATTGAATATGTATAGGATAAAGTGATAATTTTTTAATGTGAATTATAAACCAAGATAATTACAGAATGCTTTGTTCTATTAAACTGAGACTCTACACATGTTCTTAGCAGTGTTATCTTCACAAGAATACCAAATTGAATCAAATCTGTCATGGCACGGCCAAGATCTTAGAGTGGGGGATGGATCCGCCCCCTTTTATTACGTCCCCACAAAATGGCCGACATAATGGCGTCGGAAAAAATAGAAACATTAGTTTTTGGATTCAGTAGGTCATAACGTTTTCAAAAATGTAAAGTTTTGCTAATCCCCATAAAACCCCAACGAAAATACATAGTGAACCTGACTAAAACACGCACATGAATTCAAAATGTCTGCGCCCGGGACGGCTTCAAAGCGTCTCCGCGCGCGCGCAGAATGAGGAGTTAGCGCTCTAGTAATTTAATATAGCTCTATGGTCAATATGCGAAGTCTACTGTGTGACTGGTGTATGGATATCCGCTAACCAGTCTAGATCAGTGCCCCCCCCCCCCCCCCAGTTTTTGATTTTACGGAGGCCAAGTGTCCGGAGAAAAAACCTGTGTACATTTTCATATTTTTTGCTGACGAACCCCCCCCCCCCCCAGCGAAAATTCCTGGATCTGCCCCTGAAGTGGCGCCACTAACGTCAAAATAGTCCGCCCCTGAAGAAAAGCAGGATGCCTTTCCAGCCTGCGCGCGCGCTCGCTCGCTGCTACAGTTAGGGCCTAAAAGTTAGTATAAATCGATGAAAATAATATTTGAAAAGACAACTTGAAGGCATGATTGTCAATTTAAACATTACAACCAGTGAATGGGTGTGAACCCTAACGCATGCACCAGGAAATTAAAGTCGGTTCCCGTCGTGTCAAAGTACCTCCCAAGGAAGTAGTTCAACCAAACCTTTATTAAACTTGACACCGTCTTTGAAGTGCTTCTATAATACAGTCAGTGTTAACTTTATCGAAACCAATGTAGATTAGTATTTGTCCAGCAGTTGAATACACGTATCTATATATATAAGAGAGAGTTTAACTCGGCCTGCCAGACGATGTTTGCTCATGAAAGGATCCGAGACCGCGGGCTCCCGCGGCGCCAAAATCGCTCCACGTCCGTGGAAAAATGCGGAGGGTGTCTTCCGCCGGGTCGGACACTTCGGGTCGTCCTGATTTTCCCGTACGGACCGGCGATCCGTTTCGTCGATTTTTCGTGATTGCGTTTTGCGCAGGAATTTGCCGTCGTGCGCGCTTTCACGTTGACTGCCTGGCCGCCCCCTGTGCTGGCTTTTCTGCGTGTCTAGACTTTGCGAGGTCAGCGACGTCAACGTAGGGGTTGCCCTTACGTGTTCTACTCGGCTGTTCTACAAAAGTGTTCACCAAACGGTAGCATGGGGTGACCTTGGCAAAATATTTTTTTCTCCATGGTGCATGGCCACCAAGTGTCCCTATTCTTTCCTGTGCTTCGCTTGCCGCCCCTGCGCCGAGTGCAACGAATACTCAGGAGGACTACACATATTTAGTATGCCTTGCGCGGTCTGACCAATCGAAAGTCTACACTGCGTAGTACTCCCGGGCTCTGCGTAAAACCGTCGATGGCAACGCGTACTGCAGCCTGCTCCACACTCTGGAAACGAGGTTGGGTCTACGGTGCTCGCTATTTGCAGCGCAAGCATGTGACGTCGCGTGATAAAGTGCTGTTGTTTTTATAATGTGTTTACAGCTCCATGCTTCCACTAGCTCTATGCTTCCACCATGGCTGAGCGTTGTGAGTTCGTTGCCCGCCACGTCACGGTATAATTCAGTGTCGCGTTATAATTTCGGGGGCCTGTTTGGGATCAACGAAGGATCGATGCATTGCTTCAAATATCGCGATCTTGAACGCAGTCACACAAAAAACCGACAAAACGGATCGCCGGTCCGTACGGAAAAATTAGGACGACCCGAAGTGCTCGATTTAGCAGAAGAAATTCTCCGTATTTTTCTATGGACGTGGAGCCATTTTGGCGTCTCGGGAGACCGCGGTCTCGGATCCTCTCAGGAGCGAACATTTCTCGGAGGCCGAGTAAAACTTGCTCTTATATGATGGTTGACCAACTTGACTAAAAGTTGAATCGACTTTTTCCTCGCAGACGGTCTCGCAAATTGTAAGAAGTTAGTTCACGTTTGTTGAAGAGTCCAATATAGTACTGAAACTTAATTATGACCTTCCTCCGTCATTCAGACCGTTTGTAATTTTATGGTAACACTCAACATTTTCATGTTTGATTGCATTATGATGTATTGTCAAAACTGTACAATCAGCCTTCGCCTGTGTACTACGGTAACCTTTTCACTAATTTCCCACAAAGCGACTGCCTCACAAAATGCCAATTGGACAGACCAACGGGAACATTTACAGACAGTTGCCGTGGAACATATAATTATCATGTGCGTAAATCGACGGGGGACAGGGGACCCCCCCCCCCCCCCACACACACACACACATTTTGAAGCGGGGACATTGTTTGGTCCCCCCCCACTTTTTCTTCCCCGAATAAAAATTGTAGCCTACTATAATGATTCTATTGCTCAGAATACCGTGTAGCTGATTCAATTACCCCAAGCTCGAAAATGATGTTTAAAAGATGATCTTTTGCTCTAATTGGTTTTAGTGGTCAGAAATTGCCTCAGATCACACCACAAAAAATTGCTTTTCTATAACTGCATGTCTTCTCAACTAACCCCCATTTACATTTAACTCCCCACATTTTCATCTCCGACACTACGCCCTACCCGATCTATGATCGGGTAAATCAGCTTGTTGTTAATATCGCCAGTTCGCTCCCGGAAGCGATATATTTTTTTACACAACTATCTGGGGTACTTTGTGCGCTTCCTATGGGGCATGGTTTAAAATATAACTGAAAGCAAACAGAGCTAGATGGCAATGCGTGTCATGACGAAGCCTTGAAAAACTGAATTTCTATGGTTCCATAAGTTCAATGTTCACTTGGTATGGAAATTAAACGGTGTGAATGAGCAGGAGTACACTCTTCACCGACTCGGGAGGTAACACACTGAGTATACAGTGTTAAAAACGTCGGTGAAGGGAAAAACAAACCTTGATTTATTTCACCCCGACGCAAAAATTCCATCTTATTATAGAGTTCTTGTCAATCTCTAAAACAAGAGAAAACCAGTCAGTAATTTGTTTTAAAATATTTGGTTCACATTTCACGTGCTAGCCAGCATTGTAAAAATGTTCATGAAAGTCACGTGACATTTAATTTTTTATTTTTAACATTTTATATTTGATGGATTTTTGATATTTCACAGGCAAACTTTTCTGGGAAAAAAACACAAAAGCCCCATTCGAACAAAATCCAAGTCTTAAAGGTGTTGCCACCCTTGTTAATGGTTATCCACCATTAATATTGTTGCAGCTTGATTTTTTTTGTAAGGCCCATGCAGTAGTAGATCCGGGTTAGTGAACAATCGGAGAACCGAGTATGACATTAACTATCCACTTCCATGTTAACCAGAAATTAATGTGAATTCCCAACCAATATTTCTAAAAGACGAGCAACAGCCAACTGCCTTTGTCATTCTCCTCTCCACAAAAGTGGAAAAAGTTGTGTTTTTTTTCTTGGAAAGATACAAATACAAACAATGAAATTGACAGTCCAGTCCTATTTTTGCATCTTTTTTTGTCTTTTCAATCATAGAAGTATTTTATTTTCACCCTTTTGTATATTTTTCAGGTTATCGAACGAAGAATCGAAGATCCGATCTGGACATTCGTTTCATATTAAACGAGAAATCGACTTTGTGCAAAACCAATAGTTACAGCGTTTGTGAAAAAAAAATCATTTAGGAATAAGGAGAACAATCTTTTATCTGTAAATCTTTTCATTTATTGTATGGATTCCCTTACTGTATGGTAAACTTTGGTATTTTTTTATTAAATTCTTTTTACAGCCTGTGACTATAGACTTTTCTCAAACATCCTACGTGAACTGAAGATCATGGACTCTTGTAGGAGACACTCCACCCTCCCGTGGGCAATTGCTCTGACTTGGAGCATCATCTGCGTAAATGCTTTTACCACATCAGCTGAGCGGCTCGGAGACCTGTCAGACTATGAGTTGGCCAGCTTTGACAATCCTGATATTTTGGATAAAACTCAAAGACGTGCATCAAAGTTCAATCATTTTGCATTGAGTGACCATGGCGATGTGTATGTGGGAGCTGTCAATTGGTTGTACAGGTTGGAAAGTAGTTTGAAAATGATACAGAATGTTTCAACCTGTGATGACAGCAGGCCAGATAGTGTGATGCCCTGTCACCTCACAAATAACTACAACAAGATACTGGTAGTTGACAGTACCCGGCCGAACAGTCTGATAACCTGTGGCGGTGTGTATGATGGTATTTGTCAGTTACGACAGTTACAGGATATTAGTAACGTGATGATGGAGTCGGTTCCTAACGTTGCAGGGTTTGAGGACGCATCTACTGTTAGTATGATTGCTCTAGGGAAAGATGGGCAAGAAATGCTTTATGTGGCTGTTACTTATACTGGTGAAAATGTTAATGATCAAGGGAATTTTCCAACAATAGCAAGAAGAACCCTTGAAATCAATCGCTATGATCAGAGTTCTCTGTTATCAGCGATACAGCGTGACGATTCCATCTTTTTTAATGACCCTGCTAAGCATACGATCTTTTCTATCAAGTATGTTGCAGCATTTGCCCACAGTGGATTCACATACTTTGTTGCATCCCAGAAGGAGGATTTGAATTCTGCCCAATTTGTTACTAAGATGAGCAGAGTATGTCAATGCGGTCCAAACCTAGACGCCTACACAGAAATTACCCTACAGTGCAGTGGATCAGATGGCAGTGTGTACAGCTTGGTGCAAGCAGCTCACTTTGGACCAGCAGGACCTGATCTAGCGGCATCATTGGGTCTCCATGCAGACGAGCAGGTGGTGTATACTGTGTTTGCCAAGAACCAAGGAGCTCCGGGTACCAGTGATGTACCCATTGATCACTCAGCTTTGTGTGTGTACAGGATGACGGATATCTTGGCTGCCTTCAGAGAGGCAGTGCGGGGATGTATTCAGGATGGAAATACGTACTCTATTAACTATTTGGAGGGTTCTTTTTGCAGTACGTTCGGGGTGAGTACAGAAGCATATTAAGAAAGATGCTGCCATTTCTCTAATAAGATTCAAAGATGAATTTCCTGTGCTGCTTTCGAGTTACACGCGTCCATCTTTCCAGATGGGGACCAGGTCCAGTGTGCGCTTCTTTGCCATAGCTATTCTACTCTGTGTAGGCCCTAAATTTGCCCCAAAAATGCAAAGCAAACCTGTCGTGTAAAGCCAAGCCCTCTGTCCCGCTTCTCCACTTCATTTCAAGGCTGAACGGTTCAAACTGTTTCTTTCTGCAATAATGGTGCAAACTATAGGTTAAACCATAGAGGATGGTTGAAAAAAGGCAACAGTCCCCTGGCTGATGCATCAATAAACACGCTATTAAAAGCACTCATTTCATCAACGAATCTCCTTAAACTTCCAGGATTCATGTGTCTTGGTAATAATTGCCACTGCCGAACCACGATATTGCTTTAACTGTTTAAACATTTTTCTTGTTTTTACTTTCGCTAAAGATTCCCATTCTGGATCGCTATTTCTGCATACCCCTGACCGATGATGCTATTCAAACGCCATTATTCCAGTACGCCAAGGGCATAGCCCCCGTTCCAACCACGGCAATTATAGAGCTGCCTGGTACTCTCATGTCGTCCATCATAATCACAATAGAATTCAACCATACAATCGCTTTAATCGGGACATCGAGGGGAGATCTACTCAAGGTAAATTATCCCTAATCGATTTAAAAGTATGTGACTGAAGTCGTCGTAGAGCCTAAATTGGATTGTGTAGCAACAGTTTTATTTCAAACCATTTCGTTTACACCCCTTGCACTCGAGACTCTAGTTTTTAGCGCCATGCATTGTTTCCAGAAAGTTAGTAATTTTTTTAAAAGGAGAAATAATAAGCTATATTTTTGGTCTCTTAATAAATTGGCTTGCATGAACGACGCTGCTTAAGCATACATTCAAGGCAAGCAGTGTATGCCGGGTATACCATATGTTAATATCCACAAATCCATGTTAAACTTTTCAACTATGTACATCTAGGTGTAAACAGATGTATTTAGGTCCTATATGTCATATTGACATTAGGTTCATATGGAAAGTAGCACTGCCAGCCGACTTTATGAACGTATTGGCGTTGATACCAGTCCAGTTCTGCAAGATGTCAAGGTTAATGAATCAACACGTGTACTACTTCTCTTGACGGAACAAAAGGTAAGCACCTACCTAACCTGCCACGGAGGAGTGCTGTTAAACTAACTATCTCTGCTCCGGTTAGCTTCACTTGTGGACTTTGCATTTGCAGAAAAGAAGTCATTTATGAAAATTTATGTCATTTATGAAAAGCCATAGAAACCATGAGATACTTTTATTTAGGCCTTTAACAACTAAGAGCATAGAAGTTTGGTCAAATGAACATATTAAACATTACCTTTTTTGCTTTGTAAACTGAAAACCAGATTCAAGATTGGAAGAAAAAACAACTTTTCTGCTGAAATCAAATACTTTTTTCTCTCAACGTTAAGATTGTTAAAAAAGTAACATGTTTTACATTTTAGTTGGTGAAGCTTCGTGAGGAGAATTGTGGCCAATACACTACATGCGGAACGTGTATTGGGACTGATGCAGGGAATGATGGAGACCCATATTGTGGATGGTGCACTCTGAAACGAAGGTAAGTCACACGGGGTGTCTCCAAAGTGTGTGAGTGGGTCGTTGGAGAAGTTGTAAGAACGGTAGTCTATCACCACTCAGACGGGGTGCAACATGTATGAAGTGTCTTAGATCTAATGCATTAATGATGTAGGTAAAACTACACGTTGTGCACCCTGAAATGGAAGTAATTTATTGGGAGAGTTCATACGGCTGGTAAGTTTAGTTGTGGATTATGTCAGTGAAAGAACTTTTTTTTTATTTATATGACTAATATAGAGTTCAAAGAGCTTATTCATTGTATGGTTGTCCGATGTTAAAAAGTAAATGGAATTCGTACGATTCATCAAATTCATTGGTGACTTAGCGATGTTTCTCAATAAAATCTAGAAAGTAGGGCCTTTCCTGTTTTTCCGTTTTGGTGTTTGCTTTGGATGACTGTCGACTACCAAGCTATGCTCACCATGTGATAACATTGAATTCTTCCCCAGATGTACGAGATATTCAGACTGTCCATCAGCTGATGTATCTACTCGATGGTTGGCCTACAATGCTGCAATTAATATTACTGATGTAGCTCCCTATGATAACCTGCCAATTACAGTCACTGAGCAACAGGTGAGAGACAGATGTATTGAAATTACATCTAACTTGCAGATTTGTTATGGAATGATCCAGAAGTAGGGGGGGATGGGGGGTACGAGACCAAACCCAATAATCTCGCCCCCTCTCTCTCTCCCTTTGGCCACGCCCCCCACCCGTCCCCTCCCAATGATCTCTGCCCCCTGGCCCGTCTCTACCCCCTCTTGCCCCCTCTCAATGATCTCCCTCCCCCTCCCAATCCAAATATATCTCTCCTCCCAATATCTCAGTCTCAGCCCCAGCCCAAAACCGGGGGCCCAATTTAAGATGTATTTTTTTTATTTTTGATCTTGTGTTAAAAAATAAAATACGACTTCTACTTTAACCTTGACTTGCACTTCCTTGCTCCATGGGGTGACGCTGAACTTTTGCACCTATTTAAATTCAATGAGTCGTGAATTGCTTTTGTTAGTTGGGGCCGCATGCATATGACTCATATCCCATACGTCAGAAGCAAACAATGGTTTAGGAATGCATGGGTGTGCATACGTCAGAGCAAACAATGTTCCTATATAAGTGAGATACCCCTTACAGCACTGCCAGAAGCATACAAGACAGAGTTTAGTGACGACAATCAACATTACACTGGCTTTATTTTCAAATATGGAGCCAACTCTATCTTTGCTAAAAGGTAAGTTTAGATCGCTGTGTATTATTTTAACATTTAGTGTGTGTACGTGAATTATGATTCAAGAATCAAACTGGCGCCGACGTGAAAACATAAGTTTAGATTATATTTGGAAGTCGTATGAAGATAGATAGTTTATGTTTAGATAGACTTGTTTGCATTGAATGGTTTTAAAAGCAGTTTGTTTATGAATAAGGTGTACGATAAATATCATTATTTATGCAAATTGTTCGATTGGGTTTACTACCCGTGGGAGATCTCTGGTCATTTTTTAAAACTTAATTCTTGATTTGGTTTACCCCCTTTTAGAATCTATGTTGGGAATCGACAGAACGTGCTCAAGCTTTTGAAGCAGACCCAAGAAATTAAGTTAACTGTTGAAAGGTAAACTGATTTTTGACTATATTTTTAGCTTAAAGTAAGAGAGTGATAAACTCTACAGTAGGTTTTTACTCTTAAACTTATTATTTTTTTAAATATATTTTGCAGAACTGAAAAAGAAGAACTCGGACAAGAGGAATTATGGCAGAGAGGACTACAGAACATCTAACAACCAACACCCTCTACACACCACCTTCAAGCACACCGGTAAGCGACGATACAGACCCCCAGATGGACGTAGAACTACAATACACCCACGAAAAAAAGCAATACACCCATGAAGAAACGCAATATACCCACCAATGGAGCAAGCACAAGATAGAAAAATAAGAGCACATAAAAAGTATCACCAAGAAATGGTAACATTTCTTGGTGAGTTAGATGAACAAGGCCCCAGCGTATATTTATCAATACCCAAAAAACCAAAAGGAAATATTCGATCTCTATTAGATAAACAAACAACGTCTAAGCTTACTGGAAATGATCTGCATCTATATTTAATTGGTAACTTAAAAGAAGACTGTTCTCAGGAAAGCCACTATCCTTTAGGTGAATTATCTGAAGTAAAAAACCTAGAGACAGCCCGTTATTATCTTGTAGCTGCCTATGATAGAGTTGCGCGACATGAGGCCCTCACAATCCGTTTTTATCTAGACTATGGAAGAGCGCTTCATATTGCTCATGCAATTCATGCTTATGAGCAACCATTACAATCCTGGGATGACTGGGTAAAAGACAACGTAGGTATCCAGCGGTCTTACGCGAATAAGCTACGCGTGATTTCACATTTATTATGTGACTATCCCTTGTTTAGGCTATTAGGACTACCATTTTACAAACTTTACAGCATAAGAAAAGAAATTAAACTTATGTTGCAAGTCTCACATATCGCCAATATTTGGAAACAAAGTACATATAGGACTACCTGATTATACATTGCTTTGTCATGACGTTAGTCGATATGGTTTTGTTTATAACCCATCGGGTACAAAATGTGTACAAAGGCACTGGTTGTCACGATAAGGCTGATCGTTATATGAATCATCAAAGTAGTTTACATGACAAGTATTCTTTTGTATTTGGTCCTAGTATGACCATTTAACAATGGAGTGTGGTTTTTGGTAAAAGGCTGATCGTTATATGAATCATCAAAGTAGTTTACATGACAAGTATTCTTTTGTATTTGGTCCTAGTATGACCATTTAACAATGGAGTGTGGTTTTTGGTAAAAGGCTGATCGTTATATGAATCATCAAAAGTATTCTTTTGTATTCGGTCCTAGTATGACCATTTAACAATCAGAGTCTATGATCTATTAAGTGTGGTGCCTAGCAACGTGAATGCTTTTTAAAAAGACTTTGATATTGTTGTTTTAAAGTTTATCATTGTTTGTAAATCTTAGTAAAATTTTGTATAAATAAATGGTTGTAAATATAATTTGTTTCTTTAAGGTTTTTTTTGTTTGTGTCTGAGTATTGTTTATCCTATAGAGGGCGCCATTTATGGGTGTGAGGGATAGCAATTATAAACAGAGGGCGGTTTTTAATTTTTATGATAAGGGGTGCTATTTATAGTCGCTAAGAGATCTGATTTTAATTTTATAAAGATAGGTGCTGTTCAATAAAAAAAACAGAGGGCGATATTTTATTTATTTAAAAATGCAATCATTTTTATTTAATTTTATTAAATAGATGTACTTTGAGACGCCACAACTTGGGGATAAGTGCGATCACCATATAATCATCGAGAATGGTTATTTAGTTTGTGAAACGTGCGGTGAAATAGTCTCGCGTTACTTTGATTTTTCGGCAGAAAATGCGCAAGAAGATCGTATCAATTGGTCAATTTAAAAAGAAACAAAAGAAAAACTGATGAGAAACTTATTTTGTCGGTGTGTCCAGAGCAAGACTCAGAAGATGTCCAAGAAACAATCAATAAATATAACGAGCTCGTTAATTACAAAACATTGAGGGGAAATGGTTGCGTCAAACGCTCGTTAATAGCCGCGAGTTTTCATCACGTCGTTGGATTAGACAAAGAACGAGTTAGAGATTTATTTAAAGTGACTCAAAATCAATTTAATAAGGCACTAAAAAAATACGATGACCACTACAATAAAGGCGGGGCCGAGGGCGTAGCCCTAAGAGGTGAAATAGAGGTATAACTCGACGGATCGCTTTCATAATGTTTAGAAACCGAGAATTTGAACTTGTAAGTTTTTCGATAAGAGATTTTTCTTCTTTTGCCAGCCGTTCGTCTACCCGTTTTTTAACTTCTTTTTCAAAGTCTGTATCGTTTTTAATTTTTTGAATCTTTGTGCTGGTTTCTGTTCTAATTTTCTGCTTAAGCTCGTTAAATTTTGCGAGCTCTCTCGTAATCAATAAGAACTCTTCGTGCGATATATCTCCGTCGTTGATGGCTTGAGACACGTATTCTTCAATCGTGTTAAGTTTGGTGTCTGCTAATATCTTAATCTGGTCGTGCTTTTTTAGCTTGGCGGATAATCGCTTAGACGCGATTTTAAGCAGAACATCTACACCAAAAGCGCCTATAAACGTTCCTTCTAGCACCAATCCAACGGGGGCTGATATAATACCCAATAGAGCGGGAATACCGACAGCCCCCGCTATAGCCCCCAATCCTTCTAATCCTATCTCTACGTAATTAATAGTGTCGATCACTCTCTTTATTTTTGTATAAGTGTGCTCTCGGTGGTCTCTCTCTTTCAAGATTAAAGATCGAATCTCTTCAATCTTTTTAAGTCTGTACACTTTTATTTCTTCGTTACTATTTAATCGGAGTACATCTCCAGAAATATCGGGGTATAACGCCTTACCATCTACACTCATGTTTTTAACATAAAAAGATTTTAAAATTAAAAGATCTCCAACTCTATCATGATACTCACACCCTTGTTGTTGATGATCTGTCCTTTTTCACCTATGATTGAAAATGTCAGTTTGTCGATTATACCGTTTTTAAGTTTTTTGAAATCCTCGACTCTATCAGGCTCGGGTTCGCGCGTACCCACGGATATGATTTTTAAGATGTCAGACGGTCGGCCATCAAAAAAGTTTTCACTCGTACTTAATTGCGGGCAGCGAATAAACAAAAATTTAAACGGATTAACGTCGTAAGACCCCGCATACACCACTTTGGGTATCAGTCTTCCTTTGGGTAAATTGAGTAATCGAGATACTTCTCTGTTTAAGCGCAATTTGAGATTTACGTCGGTTACCACCAACGTCACCTTTTTAGATTCTCTAAATATTCGAAAACTTACACCGGGTATATAATTTAAAATGAAATCGAACCGATCGACGTCGTACCGACCCGGTGGTATGGTGACCGAACCGGTGACTCCGGCTGGTAACGGCGCTAAAAGACTCGGAGAAATGAAATCTAAATTATCACCAGACACGACAAGACTCCCCCGTATTGTCACACCCGCCTGTCTAATTACTCTCGCTCTAGGTTCGCTTATTGTACCTTCGATATATTCTAGCGCTATCTTTCTACCTTCTACGATGAAGCCTACTTTTTCAGATAAAGTTGTTATTATAAATATAATCGTTTGCGTTGTACGTCAGTTAGTGTTTTGTCTTGTCTTTTATTGTTTAAAGTTTCTTGTAATCTTCTTATATGCCCCATTTCCGTTCTGACCGCTATTACAGCTAGTCTATCTTCTTCGTACGCTTCTATAAGATCGTTTATAACTCTATTGAAAGTATTTTCGTCGTTAAATAAATAGTCGTAGTTTATCCCAGGTAGCAACGAGTAAATAAAATCTCTATCTGTTCTTACTGCTATATCTGAGTCAACCTGTTCGTATCTTCTACCATCATCAGGTCTTTCAGCTGGTCTCCCATCTATTTGCGTATACCAATCAATCTCCGTGGCGCTGGAAATATTAAAATATCCGGGGTTAAACATCACCCTTTTTACGCGTACAGATTTTTGGCCGTTTAGATTATTTACAACGTCTTCTAATTTAAACGTCTGCTCATTTTGAAACAAGTGAAACGAATGCATTTATTTTAAAGTCTTTTTATATTAAAACTGAAACTAAAATAATGAGTGATTTTAAGTCGTTAAAAAAGCAGATACTAGCTATAGCCGATCAGGTAACGAAACAAGTAAATCAAAATGTAGCCAAGGCAAACGAGCTAAAGCATCAAGCTGCACCCCAAGCAAAGTTTTTAAACAGTACTTAACCCAGTGAACTGGAGGTCATAGTTAATAATATCAACGGGTTTTTAAGCTCGTTTCCCGACTTAACCTCGGACTATAAATTGCCTCACGTTGAGACGGACGAAGATGTAGATCGTTGGAAATCACACCCCATGTCGTTTTATCAAAATCAGTTAAATTTTGCGATCTACTGCGCTACTACGGGGTGCGGTGTTGGATTCGATCTTTTAAACGCGAGCAACCGTTACGTTTGGGCCATCTTTAACTTTCATTTATATTTTACGGTTAGAAAGATCCTGTACGACTTTGCCGCTCCTTTACCGGGAGATGACGCATTTAACGCTCTAGACAACAGTTATAATCACAGAGCATTTACCGATACCTGTTTGTTGTTTGGCATAGATCAAAACAAGTCTTTTAAACAGACGAGAGACACAAAATCTAACGGTTTGGGTACCTCGTACAGCTTTAATAAGGGCAAGTTTTTGGCGGTTGGCGAATACGATAGAGCATTACCCGACAAACCCAACGTTATTTACGGCGGCTATCACGGTCTAGACAGTCCTAAAAAGAGTGGAAGCAGTTACGTTCCTTGGACGGTTATTTACATCGAACAAAATGAATCGGTACAAAAGGCTTGGTTAGATTTTATACCCGACAAAAGTTCGTTTACCCCCGCGGGAATCATAAAGATCAACGAATCGATCAGATCTTACGTGTACGCTTTACTCGGTGCGCAGGCTCAAACAAAAACGAGCGTATTAACACCGGGCACCGGATTAAACGCTCAGAGACAATTTAACGTCATCGTTGAAGATATCATCAATGCAGTAGGCGACATGGAAACGAGTATCGATCAATTTCAAGACTCTTTGCAGTATGCCAGAACGCCTTTAAATTTTGTCGTGAAACCGGGGTTGTATTTAATTCCATCGGATATGAACTTGAGGGTTGGAACGCACGACGGCTATAACAACAATCTTCAAATCGCTACCCAGAGTATGAACACTGGTTTGGTGCCAGATTTAAACTCACAACCTCAACCGGACGACTCTTTTGATGACACCGATGACGTCGCGCCACCAACACCCCCAGAGCCTATGACGAACGATGTTGTATCACCAACACCAGCACCAACACCAGCACCAACACCAACACCCTCACCTACAGTTTTAACCCAGGAGCCCACGAAACTACAAACTCACCAAGACGAAAAACTATCGTTGACGGTAGGAATATTAGCTATCGTTGGCATGGGTATTATGGCTTACGAGGCAACGCGATAAGTCACACTCTAATCACACACAACACAAAAAAAAAGCCTTACCAACTTTGTGCTGGTAAGGCTTATTTTTTTTTTGTTTAAACTTGATAACTATTACTACCATCGTTTTTGCAGGTACGCAAACACCAAGGCTCCCACACCCAAAAACAAAGCCCACACGTGTTCGGCCAACCACGATACGGACTTACTCAACGCGTTAAATATCCAACTGAGTACGCTGCCTATGATACCCGGCAGAGCACCCAACGCGCTCACTCCGAGTTTTTAAGAGCAGATGCAAAATTAGCGAGTTGTTTTGAAATCCACTCTTTGATACCGCCTTTTGGTGTTGGTGTTGGTGTTGGCGATGGCGCGGTTGGGGCACCCGCACCTCTCACGCTAGCGACGATGCTACTCACTATGGTGCTGATGGCTAAACTCAAAGCGGCTAAAATACTCACTACGGTCACACCTTGTTCTCTAAACAGAGTTCTAATCTTTTCTGCCAGAGTCGTGTCGCCGCCTAATATTTTATTAATCGTTTCTTTGATTCTAGCGATCTGACTTTTGAGCCCTCGTTCGTTGGCTTTTGCGGCTTCTAATCTGGCGGATCTTTCAACGTTCAAGTCGCTCAATTTATCGTTTAACTCTCGTCGTCCCTCTTCGCTGTGAGATTCGTCGCGTTCTTGCCTCGTGGCTGCTATCTCTCGGTCTATTTCTGTGAGACGCGATAAATTAAGTTCTAGGTTACCTCTTAACGTCTGAAGAGTTTTGTCTAAACCCTGGAGTTCTCTGTAATTCAATCCTTCCGTTTGAGCGTCGGTGTCGCGTTGTAAATCTTCTATAATTTCGGTTACCTCATCGGTGCCGCTTGGTAGTTCTGTCATGGGGATACTCTCGGGTTGTACTTGTTCGAGCGGGTTAAGTTTATAATCCTTAAAGCCCAATCCTTTTATAATGAAATCTCTACCTGGAAGATCTA